AGCGTAAGCACACCCGATATTACCCTTCCCATCCCATTTTCCCTGCTTGGACAAACCCCTTTTCTCATATTCGAATTTTCCCACCGCAAGCAGAACCTCCTCCTTATCCGCACATACCCTGTATCCATCGTTCAACAGAAAGGTATCGTCCATCCCCTTTTCGTACAGCAACGGTCACAAAACAAGAGGTCCAAAGGAGCCAGCACCAGCCCCTGCAATTTTTCACGCAAGGTCAAAACCGAGTCAAGACCATTGTCAGCCGTGTACGACATGTTGGTTACAAAACAGTCTCTGATTTCTTCGGCTGAAAAGGTGTGTTCACTCGTCGCGAGCTTCGATGAAACTGCCCACGTCCGAAAGGCGTCAGACAACTCAGTACCAACTCGGGTCTCCCTTCGACTGTCTTCCCATCTAGGTTCTTCGAGTTAAGAGCGATGGATGGCACTCCCTCGTATTCGCTAATTCGGAAATGCACGTGCCCGTCCCTCTTTGGGTAGGGCATCCCAACACAATGACAACTGGTAGCACGAACCGACGCGAACCGTCGGTGATTGTGTAGGATGTCTCCAACATTGGGGCATATCTTCCACACTACGCGTGCTCTACGCTTTACCATCTCCTTTATAGCCGAATCGATCTGCATGCTACCCACTCTTCTCCTAATCACGCGCATTATCTCACTTTTTTTAACGCCTTCGTCGTACTGCGTTTTCACAATGATTCTCGATCTTACATTCACTCCATGAGCATCTCGAATTACTCTAGAAATCATCAGTCTAGCCTTGGTTCTACTCCGTCTCGTGTTAAACGTTTTGGCTGCATTATAGTATCTGACTAATTCCTCTAGTCTCTTCTCTCCGAGGTTTCTTTGTCTCCGTGGATTTTTGAACATTCGCACCAGATCATCGCGAAGAGCCAAGGTCACAGGTGAGGCCTCTGTCACGCGTCGAAGAGTAATACTCCCTGCTGTTTTAAGAATACCTTTACACTGTCTAAGTGGTCTCGTCCTCCTCCCATGCTTGACCCGTGTCTCCCCAAATAGTCGTCTAACCACTCGCCATCCCTCAGCCCATGTATTCCCTCCATTGCAGTGGATAACTACATCCCCTTTCTTCCTTACTAGGCTCCTCAGGACATCTATAACTCTCACTGTACCTTCGGGTGTACCGTCAACTCGAATCTCAACCAATCTATCGGTGTCTCTCCGGTAATCCGTCCTCCTGCCATCGCCCACTTCTGACCATCTGGTCCGTTCACGTTTCCCGGGTCTGCGTTTCGTCTTCTTCGACGCTTTCTTGGTTTTGATGGATCGGACATTAAGCGATGGCGACCAATGTCGAATTAGTGTCTGCTCAACTGCCTCCAACTCCGTTCGATCGTTACTGGTGAAGATCAGAAGAGCCACATACCGATGCACGTCAACTTTGCCCAACCAATTATAGAGCAACCTTCTACGTTTCTTGCCCTTCTTATTTCCTAGCCTGCAGTGCTCGCCCCATCTCGTCGACAATTCCCTCTCCGTCATACCAATGTAAACCTGCTTATGCCACGGAGATATGAGGACGTAGACGCAGTTTCTAGGTTCGGCCAATTCGAAAGTCCCTTTGTCGACCTCATCCTGCCAGTACCTCACGAACTTCTCGCCCCATCTAATTCTCCCCGTCAACACTAAAGCGACCGTTAAAGCTCGAAACAATCTTTCGTCGTTCTTACACTTTCCACCACTTACCTGCCTTCGCTCGCTCAAAAGCTTAGCCAGAGCCAAGTAGTCGTCGCAATGACCGACTTCTCACTCCGATTCCTCATCCGAGAATGATGTCTCGGAAAGAGAAGGATCGGCCTTAGCCTCCTCTTGCTCCCCTTTAATCACCACTCCTTTAGCACTCCTGGTATTCACACGTGGTGTGCACGGCAGCGGGATCACTGAGAGGTCGTACGCCACAGCGATCCAGCGAGTGATTAGTTGCTTGATCGCCAGTTCCTTATTCCCATACGCAACCTTCTCCCTTCTGCATGCTTCCTTTAGTTCTTCGATAGCCAGCGCATCGTAGAAGTCCAGACACTCTTGCTCGTATCTCTCCTTCCCTCCTGGTCCGCAGGATGCCGCAATGTGCTTCAAAGATAAATCTATCTTAGCCGGTGTGCTCGTTGTCCCGACATCACCGCTTTTCTACCCCCGGAGTTGCTCAATTCGGGCTCGTGATTCTTCCGACAGTTTCACCGCCGGCTTCTTCTCCGGCGTTACCATGGGCAGGTTGTTCCCTACTGGCACTTCCGGTCCCCGTTTCCGTTTCTCCGCCTGCCCCAACTTGATTGCCACGACTGCAACGTCAGAAGTTCTTCGTCCTCCGTATCATCGGCAGTTCTAATGGTGCGCGAGGCTATCAGCCGTCGCAGCCGTTCTTTCTCGTCCTGCACGGTCTCGGCAGACGTCCCGCTTCTTAGCGCAACCTTCCCTTTCTTCTCGTACCTTTCACGCTCTTCCTCCCTGTCTTTGCGCATTTCACTGCGCACAATATGGAGCAGTCTGGCATCACGTTCTTCCTCCAAACATAATCGTTCCTCATGTCGTAATATCCTTATGTTCTCTCGATTCCTTCTGGCTTCCTCCTCAAGACGTTTCCGTTCTTCTTCCGCTTCTCTTACAATCCGCAGTTTTCTTTTCTTCCACCATTTGTAACAAGTATTCCCTCATAAGTGCATTCGTATCATCGGTAGTGCTGCTCCGATCACCTCCGCTCTCAGCCGATCTGCTCCTTCGTGAGAGTGAATCCATGTTCCCCACCATCGTTGGTCTCCCTGTTCGCCCTGGTGCTGTTGCTTGCACCGATGGAACAAAAATCCGGCCAAGCGCTTTGGCTTTCCAGTACTCAGCACAATCCCTTATGAAGTGGTCACCTTTGCCAAACTTGTAGCACTTGCGATTGTCCGGTGGTAATGACCCATCGCCCTCCATGTTGCTCGGGATATCCTCCCCGCTCATAGGTGGTCTTCAAAGAGAAAACGCCCGCTCTCCCCCCGTCAAACTAAGCGTCGATGTTGCCTGCTGCCAACAATCGTCGTCGAAACGTTAATCACCAGTCATCGGTCACCAAACATAGATCGCCAAACATAGTCGTCACCTCCACTAGGTACAATCTCCTAGTTGGTTACGACCTTGAGTCATAGGATTCAAGGAACTGCACACAAAGCAGTCACCAACTGCACGAAGCAATCACCAACTGCACGCAAAGCAGTCAACAGCACACAGGGGCAAATGGTCCAACACGCTGCATAGTTCATCAAAGCACATCCTTATTAGAAAGAACACACGTTAACACGTGGCTGTTAACGGTGGCGCGTGAAGCACAAAGATGGAAAATGATGAGAGTACGATCCAGTCCTCCAACCCACGACCCCCGCTAGCAGTTGCCAGCTCACCCGCCGTTCCCCTTCTGATCGTGCCAATCGCCTTCCGGCGTAGGAGGATGAAMTCACTATCGTCCTACCGATTTATCMTGCTCTAGCTACGTGTTCCATTGTTCCCAAGTCCGGTAAACGTGTGAAGGTTGTGGCGTCCTTCATCCTGCCATTCCTCCTAATAGTCCCTACAAACTCAACTAGATACAACACGAAAACGGGTCCTGATGCGGTACGCYGRCAAAAAAACACCCGAAAAAGTTCAAATATTGCCGACAAAAAACTTCGAACTCAGTACCCGCCCAAAATCGAATATTGCCTGGCCCGGTGGATTTCGGCCGTCCACGTAGCCCAGTACGAGTCCGCAGAGACAAGCCAGTTCAAATTCCTACAAAACGGTTTCACTTTAGTTCGGGGTCTAAACAATTTTATTAATTTTTGAAACTTTTTTAGTGGGTTTTGTATTATGTGAAGTACACATCTCTAAATTTTCAGAGCAATGAGCTATGCCAAAAAAAAAATGAAAAATCGCCAAAGATGGCGGTGTCGAAAACATGCTCGTGCACTCACTAAATTTAATTCTCATTTTATTTTTATTTATTTTTATTATTAGTATTTGTTTTTCGTATTTTATTTTTATTTCAAATTTGGTAAGGAATTCGGATGTCTTGCTCAGGCAAATCTTATTTAATTTATTTTTCTCCATAACATATGCAAGGAAGATGAGCACTAGTGAACTCCAGCAATCAAACAGCACCATACATATGAGTCCAGATAGTCTTTACCTCGAACCAACAACAGAAATGCATCACGAGATTCACCAAATAAGAACACACCGATAGTTCGTAATTGACAATGCTGAAATAGTCTTTCATCATCATCAACGAAGAACAAGAGTTGATATCCTATTGGCGCTCGGCGCCCAGACTACATGTGGCAGATCCTATCTAGCTTAATACTACAATGCCGATGTTGACAACAACAGCTTCCTGAAGTACGAGCATACAACGGACAATGCCGCACGCTTCCAGCACCAGGTATGTCTCTCGCAACACTAACAACCCCGATCCACACCACACAGATGCCACTAGCACCCAAGGACCACCATGCGTCACACCCAGCTCACAGCGGAGCAGCTCGGCTATTGCTGCCCGCTACTTCCTGCTCGCCCGTGAGAGCGTGAGTGTCAGGCAGCCAGCAAATAGCGCAACAGCGCTCGCGCAGCATGCAGCCAACACCCGAATGCCGAATGAGGAGGCAGGCCCTTCCCTATATCGAAGTGGCCTACCTGCATCCAGTCCAGGAAGCTTCCAGTAGGCCCCGGTAGGCACAGGCCCAGACCTCACACGAAGGCCCAGGGCCTGATGGTTGCATGTGCCCAACTGCCCTTGGCCTGCTCGCGGCCTTTCCCACGCGTCTGGCCCATGTCACCATTCAGATACATTTTGCAAAATATGGCCTGGGCCTGGGCGCTTTCAACCAACTGGCGCAGCGCAACTGTCTTAATTTCACCAGTTGCGGGATACCCTGAAAATTGAGGCCCTGAAGGCTTGTAGCGCCTGCCTTCACTTAGGGCGGCCGACATGCTGCAAAAAGGGCCCCGAAGGGGCTGAGCGGGCGTAGCCTCGCATTCCCTCCTCCATATCTTCGTTAGTCCTCTGAGAAGATCAATCCTGAGCCATCTGGGGCTTTCCTTTCAATACATCCTTCTCATAGTGGGCAACGATTTGAGAAGCGGTCTGCATCAATTCCTCCCGAGTAAACCAGCGGTCCTCCTTCGGATCTGTGTAATGTCTGAAGTGGACACGAAACTGCAGCTTTGGCTTTGGAGGACGTCCCCATCTTGGAGGCTTCTGAACAGGCATCTCCCTGTGGTCGACGATATCATCGATGTCGACTTCTCCGTCCATGGTTGGGGGCAGCATTGATCGACGAGAGGGAAATTGATCAGTTTCCTTGAACGCAACGAGCTTAGGGGCGTGAAAGACTGGGTAAGTTATGAGATGACCAGGGATACGGATGACATAAGATGGACCATCAGGATTTGTCCCTACTACGTCTAAGACTTCCCAAGGTCCGAAGTACTGAGGCATGAGTTTGCGGGATATCCCGAACTCCTGTCTCAGTTTTGAAGACTTAACCCAGACTCTGTCCCCAACCTGAAATGTAGAAGGGCGGCGGTGTTTGTTCTCAAATTCTATAATTGTTGCCTGCGCCTTCTACATGTGCTCTACAGCCTCTTGCATTTTCTGTTCGTAACGATAAGCAAACTCCAAAGTGTTTGGTGCAACAGTTGGTTGGTTATCAGGAAGTAGGAAGCTTAAAGGCAGTCTAGGCTTAAAGGTAAGATATAGACTGTTATGACTTACCCCGGTAGCGCTGTGTACAACGTTATTGTACAGACTGGCGACAAAAGCAAGCTTGTCGTCCCAGTCCACCTGATTGGGCCTAATGTAATGCCTCAACAGGTGTTGAACAGCGCGGTTCATTTGTTCAGCCTGACCATTTGCTTCTGGATGGTTTCCAGAAGTCATTTGCAGTTGAGTTCCCTGTTCAGCTGCAGCGACCTTCCATAACTCACTTGTAAATCTGACATCCTTGTCACTTACAATAGACTTAGGCAATCCAAAATCCCTCACCCAGTTCTCTTTGAACAGTCTGATTACATACTCGGTCTTTGTTGTTTCCGGCATGGCTATTAACCTAGCATACTTACTAAACCTATCCACGATGACGAAGATCTGCCTCATCCCACTCTTGCTGGTGACCAGTGTATCCATGAAGTCCATGGACAAGCTTTCACCTGGCCTTTCCGGAATCGGAAGGGGCTTGAGCAGCCCAAGAGAAGCCTGAGTACGGGGCTTGTCTCGTTGGCAAACTTGACAATTTTCCACGTACAGCTTAGCATCTTTTAACATCGTGGGCCACCTGAACCTTTGCAGCAAATTGGTTGCGGTCTTCTTGTACCCAAAATGGTCGGTGGCGTCATGACACTCGCCTAAAAACAAACTACACAAAGACTCTTTATCAGGAACACACAAACGTTTATTCCCTTCCTTCTCGAGAAACAGCAAGTCATTGACCAACTCAAACTCGGCTGAAGTTTGTTTATCCTTCGCCTCGAGTCTGCGTATGATCTCAGACATAAACTGGTCCTCTCGATAGGCTTCCACCAAGGATCGAGTGACATCATCCGTAAGATCGTACTCAGTAATCAGCGCACCTGAGAAGTCAGGTCTACGCGACAAGGCATCAACAACCTTGTTGTACTCACCCTTGATTTACTGAGGGTCAAAGTCATACTGCTCAATGACTTCTATCCAACGCTTCAATGCGTCAGAGAGTACAGGGTGAGTTCTCATCCATCTCAAGGTCTGATGATCAGTCCTGAGGATGAAGAACCTCCCAAGGAGATAGTGTCTCCAATGGGTGAGGGCCTTGAACACCGCATAGAGTTCTTTCTCATAGGTGGAATTAACCAACTTCTGAGACGGCATTTTTTTGGACATGTACTCAACAGGCCTTAATTTTGGCCCCTCCTGCTGCCCACTCACGGCACCAATGCCATATTGGCTAGCATCCGTGGTTACTATAAATGGCTTATCAGGATTGGGAAGTTTCAAGACTTCATAATGCGTTAGTGCATGCTTCAGATGTCTGAAAGCAGCCTCACACTCATTTGTCCACTCCCACGGGGTATCAAGGCGGGTCAGATCAGTCAAAGGAGCGGTCACTACACTATAGTTCTTTACAAAAGTTCGGTAGTAGCCTGTCATTCCTAAGAAAGATCTCATCTCAGTCACAGACTGAGGTCGTGGCCAATCACGAATGTTGGCCACCTTCACGTCATCGGGCTTCAACCCTTCCGCGAAGATCTCATAACCCAAGTACAAGACACGGGTGCGCCCAAACTCGCACTTCTCACCGTTGATCTTTAACTTGTGTTGTCGCAGGAGACTAAGGACTTTGTCCAAGTGTGCAACGTGCTCCTCGACAGTCTTACTAAAAATAAGTATGTCATCGAGGTACACGATGACAAACTTATCCAAGTAGTCATGGAATATCCGATTCATAGCGTGCTGAAAGGTGCCAGGAGCATTGCACAGGCCAAAAGGCATCACCACAAACTCGTACGGACCGTACCTGGTCTGAAATGCGGTTTTGTGTTGATCCTCGGGCCGGATTGCAATCTAATGGTACCCGGACTTCAGATCTATCTTACTGAAGTACCGACACCCTTGCACTCTATCTAACAGATCGTCGATGCGCGGTAGGGGCTCTCTGTTCTTTACAGTGATGGCATTGAGGCCCCTATAATCAATGCACATCCTGAGAGTGCCCTCCTTCTTCTTAGGTATGAATAGTACTGGAGATCCGTAAGGAGAGACACTCGGCTGGATCCAACCCTTCTCTACGAGTTCCTTGAGTTGGCGGCGAAGCTCATCAAGCTCGCCTGGAGACATGAGATAGATCCTACCCTTTGGAATACTAGATCCTGGGATAATCTCTATCGCGTGGACGACCTCCCTATCAACAACCCCTGTTGGCTCTTCAAATAGATCAGGGTACTTGGCAATTACTCCCTCTATCTCCAGCGACATTTTCACCGGCTCGCCTACAGCAGAGACATAAACTAAGTACATACCCTCCTCTTGATGTTGCTTATAGTAGTTATAGAACGCGGCCTCAAACATGCATCTATGGGAATCGATCAGACTACTAGCTTGAAACATGTGTAGTCTTGCGGTCCCTCCACCTGGCAAAGTGTGTTTGACCAATTTTCGGTCCCAGTCAAACTGGGGCTGTGCCACAGAGAGGTAGTACATACATAACAAGATATCCATAGGGAGATCGTCGCTCACTAGGAATGAGACACGATGCCTCAACTCCCCTCCCGCGAACGGAAACAGGCATTCTACATCCTGAAGGTAGTCATTAACTACCATACGCTGTTTGTTGGCACAGGTCGACTCCACAGGTCGACTCAGGCGCTGCACTTGCCCCTATAAACGCAGCCTCTCAACGCACGCGCAACTTATAAAGTTCCGTGTCGAGCAAGTGTCATAATAGGCCCCGGCCTTGCGGCCGCCTACGACTATCTCGCTGACGAACATCTCACCCTTCGGGGATTTAGCTAGTGTCGTCCAAGAAGCTAGTTGGTCTAGTCTAGACCACTCTTCCTCTAGCTCCTCTAAGGACTCAAACACATTCATCGAGCAAAGGGTCGATGGGTCTGAATGCGTTTGCGGGACGACAAGGGAAGCAATAGCTTGGGCCATAATGCGAGATGGCGAGGGTGTCTCCACCACCTCGTCCGTAGTAGGAACAACTACTATTCCTACTGGCCTGACGTGTTTCCCGGAGCAGTGCTTGATGAACTGGCAACATTGCTACCTACGGGAGATGAGGATCCTACCGCCTGCCCCATAGTAGGCGGGATCTTATCGGTGACCTTCTTGTTCCTATATTTGAACTGGTTATGGCCGTATTGTCAGTGACCACAATGAATGCAGGCCTGTCGGTTCCACCGATCTCTCCACACCTCCTCGGAAAGACCCGCTTTCTCCCATGGAGGAGCATTGGGGTCAACTTGATTCCTAAACCGGGAGCCCCCTCAGCGTCTACCAGTCCCCTTACCTTTTTGTTGGGTTACGACGGCGACTACTCCACCCTCTGAAGTATCGCCACCTGCCTCTGCACCTACTCCCTCCTGGAAGTTGTCGTCCAACTCGATGGTTGAGCCATCGTTGTCGACAAACATGATGCGACCCTTCGCCTTCCAGTTGGGAGGCAGTGTCTTCTTCCTCCCGTCCGTAGTGGGTGAGTACGAAGTCAGAAGGACTTGGGGGTCATAGCGCACACCTGGGACACAGATTAGACGCTCAACAGCGTCAGTGGCTTCCCTAACTGACTTAAACTGCCGCGTGTAAAGTGTCAGGATCGCATCAGTGGCCTTTTGGGCCTCCTGAGGATTATGCCATCTCTCTTCCACCATCTTCAGGAAGTCCTCTAGTTTCTGAGGTTGCCCAAGAGCAGAAGTCATGACCGTGCCCCTGGAGTTGTACTAAACCACTCAACCATCTTGCTGCACTACCCTCTAGGTAAGATGCAGCCACAAGCACTTCTTCATGTGGCAAGGTGAGTTTACGCGTGACGTAGATCGGCACTGCCCTCAACCAAGTGTCGAGGTCTTCGCCTCTCTTGTCCCCTATAAAAGGTTTAGGATCGACGATGACCGTCCTTGGAACCCACTGAGTTTGTCCCGGTCCCTGCACCACCCCGGGCTGTGGACCCGGTGATACAGGTTGCTGCACTACCTGCTGGGGTTGTGTGCCCTGTGGCTGCAGAGGTTGCAAGACAGCAGGCTGCGTGGTAACTGCAACATGCAATGGACTCTGAGTGGACACTTTCTGTACAGGAACCTGCACACTACTCCCTGTTGTTACCCCTCCTGACAGAGGCATGCCCAGGGAAACGATAGCAACCGATGACGGGGCTACATATGGGGAAACCCCAGTCACCGGTGGAACAGAAAAAGGAGGATATGGCACGGGCCAGGCACCAGGCCCTGCCGGTAATGGTGCTCCCTGAGAACGCCATACCAAAATGGCTAGGCTCTGCTGGATATCATGAAGGATGGTAGTTTGATGCTCCTGCATCTCTATTACTCCTAGCAGGACCCTCCTAACTACCCTCACATCGTCATCCATGTTCGTCAGGTCGATCGACTCTAACTCCTCTATGTCTGCCCCTCTCCGTTGCATCCTGGTCCTTCTTCTAATCATCATCTCTTTCTCCCTTTTTATCTGTCCTAATGCCTGTTGTAGCTGTGCCTCTTGCAGGGCTGTCTGCTGGATGGCGACATCCTCTGGGGTCAACACCGCAGGCTGGCTTGCCATTAAGCCAGTGGACTGACTCACAGTCTGCGCAACCGTGAACCCGGCAGTACCTGAACTACCGGCTTGGGAAGTCTGCTGCGCAGACGTGCTCATGGTTGTGGTAGCCATGGCTGATGTAGCACCGGCCTCGCTAGCTAATGCCCTGCTGGCCTCGGCTTCTCTAGCTGTCCTCCGCTGCTGCCTCTCCCTCTGCCGGCGGAACAGTTCCCTATCACCCTCTGGTCCTAGGGACACATGAGTTATTGGGCCTCTAGCTGATCGCAAGATCCTGCGATCGTCCTCTCCGGTGTCCCCTGTGTCGCTCATAGGCTACAACACTGTGCGTTGTCTACACTAGATCATTCTAGATGCCTACCGCAGCATAGTGCACAGACCAACTAATTAGTGGTGGCTACTTTTGGAACAAATCTCATTTGGGGTCAGCATATAATTCAGATTCCTACACTGAAACTATTTTTAGTATGACTAGTCCGCAAACAGAAGCACCAGGAACAATCAAAAGTTCTAACTAATGCTGCATATGTCAATGGCAGTCCATTTAACTAATCAAAATATAAAAATAGAATCACTTGTGTGGATAGGACAGTGTGGTATTTTCTCGAACTTGTCAACTGGAATCAACCCCTCCTTCTAATCTACCATTGAGTATCTCTTGCCGTCAGCGTTCTGAGCAATCAGATAGCATGAGTGACTGAAGGTGTGCAATCCGGTCCCACCCCTGTGCCCCAAGTTATCGTCGAGCAAGGCAGCCACAACACTCTTATTTATCCTCGTACGCCGACGAGCCTTACACTCGGTTGATCTGGCTGATCAAGAGGCAATTTAACGTCCGCCCCCAAGTGACTCCAGGAATTATTTTACGTCGCAGCCGGACAACGATCACAGCCAGATTCAGAGCCGAGTCCCCAACCAGAAATGTTTATAGACGGTCTAGTAAGCGTCTCAAGAGGCTGCCACACCCGAGTTAACCTCTATCTGCGCAAGCAGCAGAACCAAAGACTTGCAGCGAAGCATGCGTGTACTACACCCAGTGGGTTGGCATGGTGACCGTGACCCAGTGCTTTGTCCAGGGCCCTTCAGAAAGCAACGCCCTCTTCCCCCTGATGCTCCACAGGAAGTATGCCGACTCTCAAGGTTGAGCACACTCAACACCTCACGATGAGAGGACTCTCAAGTTGGATCACACAACCTCACGGTAAGAAGTGTTGGAGAGGGTAGATAAGGTTGGGAGTTACGTACCTCAATATTGTTGCCCCTAACCACAGAGATAATCTCACCAGATGACCCAATAGCAATTGCGATGACCAGTCACTGCATCGGCACAACCAGCATTATCCGCCATTCCACCTCAGCATCTATCGCTCATTAGATAGTTCTCATCACACTGTCCAGACCACATTCACTTCACATAGCCTTCCTGGCGATCCCCTCACCTCCTGGGTCGCCTTCACACTCGTCTCCACCCTCCTCACTACACACCACTTACGGCCAAACTCGCCCAGAAGACCGCATGTATGTACCTCATAAGGCAGAAGACAAGCACCAGATGAGCGCAATCATACCACAGCTCCGATACCAAATTGCAAGGAAGATGAGCATTAGCGAACTCCAGCAATCAAACAGCACCATACATATGAGTCCTGATAGTCTTGGCCTCGAACCAATAACAGAAATGCATCACGAGATTCACCAAATAAAAACACACCAATAGTTCGTAATTGACAATGCTGAAATAGTCTCTCATCATCATCAACGAAGAATAAGAGTTGATATCCTATTGGCACTCGACGCCCAGACTACATGTGGCTGATCCTATCTAGCCTAATACTACAATGCCAATGTTGACAACAACAGCTTCCTGAAGTACGAGCATACAACGGACAATGCCACACGCTTCCAGCACCAGGTATGTCTCTCGCAACACTCACAACCCCGATCCACACCACACAGATGCCACTTGCACCCAAGGACCACCCTGCGTCACACCCARCTCWCASCRGAGCAGCTCGGCTATKGCTGCCCKCTACTWYYTGCTCGCCCGTGAGAGCGTGAGTGYCAGCCWGCCAGCAAATAGCGCAGCAGCGCTCGTGCAGCATGCAGCCAGCACCCGAATGCCGAATGAGGAGGCAGGCCCTTCCCTATATCGAAGTGGCCTGCCTGCGTCCAGTCCAGGAAGCTTCCAATAGGCCCCGGTAGGCACAGGCCCAGACCTCACACGCAGGCCCAGGGCCTGATGGTTGCATGTGCCCAACTGCCCTTGGCCTGCTCGCTGCTTTTCCCACGCGTCTAGCCCAGGTCACCATTCAGATACATTTTGCAAACTATGGCCTGGGCCTGGGCGCTTTCAACCAACTGGCGCAGCGCAACTGTCTCAATTTCACCAGTTGCGGGGTACCCTGAAAATCGAGGCCCTGAGGGCCTGTCGCGCCTGCCTTCACTTAGGGCGGCCGACATGCTGCAAAAAGGGCCCCGAAGGGGCTGAGCGGGCGTAGCCTCGCACATATTTTTTTTTCAGATTTTTTGGACGACTTTTTTTTTTTTTTTTTTTTTTGGGGGGTCCGCGTTCGGCCCGAACGGCCGAACGCATCCCCAAGGGGTCCCATACGTTCGGGGGTTCGGGTTCGGGCGTTCGGCCCATCCTGAAACCCGGTTACCCTGTATATATATATATATATATATATATATATATATATATATATAGCGTGTAGATAAAAAAAAACTTTACACGCCTATGATTTTTAATATTTTTTGTGACATCTACTGGAAGGGGAAAAAATAAAAAATGGAAATGGAAATTAAAAACATTTTAAAAAAAATCGTTGATGATTTTTTTTTTCCATATGTTT